GCATTGCCCTTCTTTGGGATCGGAATGTAAACTGACCTTTTCCAATCCTGTGGTCTCTGTTGAGTTTTCCAAATTTCCTGGCATATTGAGTGTAGCACTTTTACTGCATCGTCTTTTAGGATTTTGAATAGCTCAGCTGGAATACTGTCACCTGCACTAGCTTTGTTGTTGCTCAGACTTCCTAAGGCCCATTTGACTTCACATTCCAGGATGTCTGGCTCGAGGTCAGCAACCACCCCATCGTGGTTATCAGGGACATTAAGCTCTTTCTTGTATAGTTCTTCTGTGTAACCTTGCCACCTCTTCTTAATCTCTTCTGCCTCTGTTAGGTCCCTGCCATTTTGGTCCTTTATCATCTTTGCATGAAACGTTCCCTTCATATTCCAATTTTCTTGGAGAGATCTCTGGCCCTCTCTATTCTATTGTTTTCTTCTATTTCTTTACACTGTTCATTTAAGAAGGCATTCTTATCTCTTCTAGCTGTCCTCTGGAATTCTGCATTCAATTGGGTGTATCTTTCTCCCTTGCCTTTCACTTCGCTTCTTTCCTCAGCTATTTGTAAAGCTTCCTCAGACAGCCATTTTGCTTTCTTGCATTTCTTTTTCTTTGGAATGGTCTTAGTTGCTACATCTTGTACAATGTTGCAAACCTCCATCCATAGTTCTTCAGGCACTCTGTCTATCAGATCTAATTTCTTAAATCTGTTTGTCACCTCTACTGTATATTCATCAGGGATATGATTTAGGTCATACCTGAGTGACATAGTGCTTTTCCCTACTTTCTTCAATTTAAGACTAAATTTTGCAATGAGAAGCTCATGATCTGAGGCACAGTCAGCTCCTGGTCTTGTTTTTACTGACTGTATAGAGCTTCTCCATCTTTGGCTGCAGAGCACATAGTCAATCTGATTTATATGTTGACCATCTGGTGATGTCCATCTGTAGAGTCGTCTCTTGGGTTGTTGGAAAAGAGTGTTTGCTGTGATCATCGTATTCGCTTGAGAAAATTCTATCAGCCTGTGCCCTGCTTCATTTTGTACTCCAAGGCCAAACTTGTCTGTTATTCCAGTTATCTTTTGGCTTCCTACTTTAGCACTCCATCCCCCATGATGATAAGGACATAATTTTTTGGTGTTAATTCTAGAAGGTGTTGTAGGTCTTCATAGAGCTGGTCAACTTCAGCCTCTTCAGCATCAGTGGTTGGGGCATAGACTTGGACTACTGTTATGTTGAATGGTCTGCCTTGGATTCAAACTGAGATCATTCCGTTATTTTGGACATGGTATCCCAGTACTGCTTTTCCTACTCTTTTATTGACTATGAAGGCTACTCCATTTCTTCTGAGGGATTCTTGCCCACAGTAGTATGCCTGATGGTCATCTGAATTAAATTTACCCATTCCTGTTCATTTTAGTTCACTGATTCCTAATATGTCTATGTTCAGTCTTGTCATCTCATGCTTGACCACATCTAGCTGGCCTTGATTCATAGATCTTGCATGCCAGGTTCCTATGCAGCATAGATCTTTACAGCATTGGACTCTCCTTTCACCATCAGATACATCTGCAACTGAGTGTCCTTTCAGCTTTGACCCAGTCGCTTCATTCTTTCTGGCACTACTAGTACTAGCCCTCTGCTCTTCCCCAGTAGCACATTGGACACCTTCTGACCTGAGGGGCTCATCTTCAGGTGTCATATCCTTTTGCCTTTTGGTACTGTCCACAGGGTTTTGATGGCAAGGATACTGGAGTAGGTTGCCATTTCCTTCTCCAGTGGATCAGCTTTTGTCAGAGCTCTCTGCTATGACCTGTCCGTCTTGGATGGCCCTGCATGGCATTGCTCATAGCTTCATTGAGCTACGCAAGCCCCTTCACCACGACAAGGCAGCAATCCATGAAGGGCAACAAACATTACTTTACACTTACTTACATTGAACTACATTTGTCATTTTAATGTCCATTCTCCCAGCTTGAAAAAAATCCTTTGAAGCTGCTCACAATCCCATTTAGTTTTAGCCACCCTAAATAGTTTGGTGTCATTAAACTTGGCCACTTCACTGATCATTCCTAGTACCAGATCATTTATGAATAAGCTGAAAAACAGTGGTCCTAATACAGAACCATGTGGATAATGCTTAAGCCCAAACCTATGTGTGTTTAGACAGAACAAACTCCTACAATTCCCAGCACTGTCTTGATTTCTATTTCAGAAAACATCACAGGTTCTAGCCTTCTTCCTTCACACAAATTCTATTTTCTTTGTTCTGATCAAGACCATATGGTTTTATAGGCCACCCTGTTACCACCTCTGTGCACCTTTCAGTAATGATAAAATTCTCCTTTAAAGGAGCTCTCTGACCAAACACAGCCACCTGGTCCCTGCTTCTAACCTTTGAATAAAAGTTTGGACTCCTACCAATGAAGGGCATAGATGGAGTCAGAAGCAGACTCCCAGACAGAGTGCTTGCAGCTGGCATTTGTTATCTCCTTCAGCTCTTGGTGCTTTCCCAGCACACTTCAGTTCAGGCTATTTTTAGCAAAGATTTGGAGCACGCTGTACTTCTACAGGAGCTTTGCTATTGTGTGACATTTCAGTAATCCTGAAAAGAGCGATCCAGTGGGGTGAGAGGCACAAAACAAGGTGGACATTCAGAGAACTTTGTGCAGGTATAGCCTTCATTATCACTTAAGCAATGCTTTCTGCATTCTCCTTCTAAACTTTGTGTAAGCCTTCAATGAAAAGAAAGGAAAAGAAGTTGTGTATCTTTTTCCAGAGTCTCCATGTTCCTTCATCTTTTCTGTGAGTGGAAAACTGGGCTCAGATGTTTCTCATGGTATCACTACATCTACAATTAGGAGAGTAGTTAAGGAACTAGTAAAACCCAACATGCTTGGACAAACAACTAGCAAAAAAAACTTTTTGCCTTTAAATCATAGAAGCATAGAAACAAAGTGAGTTAGAAAGGGCCTCTTAGACCATTTAGACTGACCCTCAGCTCCAGCCAGCTCCACTCATGTAATCCCCAACATGTGGCTGCCCAATCTTTCCTTGAACATCCTCACTGACGGGGCCTCCCTTGGAAGCCCATTCCATACCCTAGGGTTCCTAACCTAAGTACTTCCTGGCATCCAACCTGAAGCCTGGTTCCTTGAGCTTTACTCCATTGGAACACATCTTGCCCTCCACTGCAAGGAAGAACAGGTCACAACCCTCCTCCACATGACATCCCTTCACATACCCATTGCTAGAAGACCCCCGCAGAGGCTCCTCTTCTCCAGGCTGAAAACACTCAGTTCCCTCAGCCTCCCCTCATATGTCATCCCTCCCAACTCAGCTTCTATTCTTGTGACCCTGCACTGAACTGATTCTAACCTAGCTCTGTCTCTTCTACAATGTGGAGCCCAGAACTGGATTCAGTACTCCAGCTGTGGACCCACCAGAGTTGTGTACAGTGCTATCAACACCTGCCTAGATCTGGAAGCCACACGTCTAGCTATACATTCAAGGATGGCATTTGCCTTCTTAACCACCCCATTACACTGTTGGTTCATGTTCAGCCTGCTGTTGAAAGTACCCTGAGATCCCATGCTGTTCTCTAGCCACTTGTTCCCCATGCTGTACCTGTGACACCTATTCCTGTGTCCCAAGTGCAACACCTTGCACTTATCCACATTGAATGCTATCCTGTTGTCCCCTTCCCACTTCCAAGCCTCACCTGCTTCTCAGTTGTGGCCACTGCCTCACTCTGTGAATTTAGTCAGCAGACTGAAAGTGTGGCTTGTTGCTCTCAGACAATTACCATACAGCAATTGAGTGTTGGACACAATGGGTTGGCATATCATTTGAATTGTATTGACTGTGTGACTTCACAAGTGTAGAAGTGGCATCAGTGGTTCCAATCTTCAAAAAGGGTAGCAGAGGGGATATGGGAAATACAGGCCAGTTAGCCTTATGTGCATTCTGGGAAAGATGATGGAGAGGCTCATAATAGGGAAGATCTAGAAACCTTAGATAGGGAAGGAGGTTGGCGGCCACACAACACAGCTTCTGCAAAAACAGGCCCTGCTAGATGAACCTTGTGGAATTTTATGACAAGGTTTCAAGGTGGCTTGATAGAGGGGATGCAGTGGATGTGGTTTATCTGGATCTCAGCTAGGTTTTTGACAAAGTGCTGCACAATATCCTGGTCAAGAAATTGTTACGATTTCGGAGAGATGGATGCACTTTCCAATGGATTAGGGCATGGTTGACAGCAAGGGCAAGCATTTAAAATCATCTAAAAAGGCAGCATTATTATTATTTTTATTATTATTATTATAACATTTCTATGCATCTGTCTACACATGCATATTTTCAGTTTTCATAACCTAATCTACTGATGCCATCAGAAGGTGCTACTGGTACAGTTTCTCCCCCTCTGCACTTCAGGCCCCCAGATCTACTCCAGAGTGTTGGGTGACCCTCTGGAACAGATTTTCAACAGATTTTTCTTCATCATTCCCTGTCCTGTAGCTAGATGCAATGTTAGATGACAAAAGTTCAAGGAAGACATCTGATGCAGCTGGGCAAGCCAGAACAGTATCTCTGATCTTAAAGGTAATAGAACCATTACGTATCTTCACACTGTTCTTAGATTGATCAGATTGACCTCTTTCCAAGAGGACCGTACTTTATTTGGAGAGATGGTACATCTGATTCCAGTAGAATGAGAAAGATTTGTAAGAACTAAACAGCAGGCACATATGTCACCCTAATGTTTTACACTACGGTGAGATGAATTGTATTTCTATTGTTATAATACTGCCTAAATCTTTATATTTACACATACAGCAATATATACACATTATGCAAATTGATGGCCCCTTTTGTCCTTTTTTTAGTGATGTATGTTTACTTTTGGAGCCCTTCATGAGTAATCTTAATCCTTCTGATCCAGTAGTGCTTCCTGTAAGATACTAGATGATTAGAGGGACTTACAACTCTGTATGGGTTTTTCTTCAGCTTGCTGCACAGGTCCTAGAAGACAAAGCCATTGGTTTTGGGTTAGTGGATTCCAAGAAAGATGCAAAACTTGCCAAAAAGCTAGGTAAGTGTGATCTGCTTAAAATCCCTAATGTGGCAACTGCTACTGTTGTATTAATGGTGGTTAAATCCAAATGACTATCCATAGAGCAATAAATGTTGGGCCATCAGCATTAATACTTCACTTGCAAGTGTCCTAATCAGACATGCTGTCCCAGAGTGTAGCTATCTGGCCTCAAGTGTGTCTGTTGCACAAGTTGTGACACAATAATCTGTTACACCAGCACCAACAAGCCTTGCCCTGACAATAATGATGTGGTTAAAATGGTACAAATCTAAAACTATTGTACTACTGCCATGTTGATGCAGCGGTCAAGAGGGTGAGCACCACCCTTGGATGCATAGCCAGAAGCATGGCTTCTAGATCAGGAGAGGTGTTGCTGCCACTGTATACTACTCTGGTGTGCCCGCAGCTGGAGTTTTGTGTTCAGTTCTGGGTTCCACATTACAGGAAGGATATGGCCAGGATGGAATCAGTGCAGCGTAGGGCCACAAGGATGGTGGCCAGATTCCAGGGTAGCCATATGAGGCGAGACTGAGAGAACTGGGTCTTGTCAGCCTGGAGAAGAGGAGACTTCGAGGGGTTCTCTTGGCAACATATAGGTATGTGAGAGGGTGTCACACAGAGGTGTGTAGAGACCCATTTTCCCCTATGGAGGATGGCAGGATGCATTCCAATGGAACACAACTCAGGGAATGAAGGTTCAATTTGGATGCCAGGAAGTACTTCCTGAAAGTTAGAACCCCTAGGGTATAGAATGGGCTTTCAGGGGAGGTGGTTGAAGCCCCATCAATGAGGGTGTTCAAGGATAGTCTGGACATACACGTGGTAGGCATGTCATGGGTGGAGCCAGCTGGAGGTTGAGGTCAGACAAGATGGCCCAGGAGGCTTCTTCTGACTTGCTCTGTTTCTATGTAATTATGTGCTAGTTTATAAGGTACTTTCTGAAGTTACATGATGAACCCCTGGGAAATGGAATGTTAGTTTGGACAAAGAATGACAAGTTCCTTAACCAAATTAAATGACAGAAGAATGCAAACCTGTCTGTCCTTTTATTTCATTGTCATCATTGTTGTTTTCCATTTAGTCTCAAGACTGGCACCACATCCTTATATACATCCAGTGTAGGTAGTTTAATACTCCTCATGGGAGCAGCTATGGAGTAAGCTGTGGCATATGAAAAGGTGAACTGAGGTATGCCATGCTTAGAAACACAGTTCCTTCAAGCAGTTTCATCTTTTACTGAAAGTCTGGTATTTCCTTTGATTCACAGAAAGGCACAATGCAAAGCTGGTATCCTAATGATTTGGTGATATACCTTCCCTTTATGAGATAAGATATATCACTATGGATTTCTCTATACAAGGCATTCAGTGTACACTTGTGTTTCCTCACTTTTAATAGTTTGTGTGTGTTTTATATAGATTCAATGAATTAGCAGAGTTGGAAGAAGCCAGTAAGGCCACCAGGTTGAACTTAACAGCTCATTGCAGGGCTCTAAGTAAAAGCATTCCTGACAGATGGCTGTCCAACTGCCTCTTGGATGCTTCCAGTGTGGGAGATGCTACAACCTCTCTACTAATTAGTTACATTGTCATACTGCATTAAGAGACAGGAAGATTGTGCTGATATTCAGCTGGAATCTGGCTTCCTGTAACTTGAATTCGGCTTTCTGTAACCATTATACTGTGCCCTGCACTCTGGGATGATCAGTAAGAGATTCTGGCCCTTTTCTGTCTGACAGCATTTCAAATACTTGAAGAGTATTTTCATATCTCCCCACTTCTCAAGGCTAACATGCCCAATTCTTTCGGTCTTTCCTCATAGAGCTTTGTGTCCAGTCCCCTGATCATCCTTGTTGCCCTCTCCTGAAACTTGTCCAGCTTGTCTGCATCTTTCTTAAACTGTGCTGCCCAGAACTGGACACAGTACTCCAGCTGATACCTAAGTAATGCTGGGTAGAGGGAAATTACTTTGTACTTTGTATGATTTGGAAGTGAAGCTTCTATTAATGCAACCCAAAATAGTATTTGCTTTTTTTGTAACCACATTACACTGTTGACTCATATTCAACTTGTGAGCTACAGCAATTCCAGGAACATTCCCATTTGTAGCATTGTTGAACAAGTGTCCTCCATCTTCAAACTATGCATTTCTTTTCCTTAGGTTCAGAACTTGGCACTTGCCCCTATTAAATTAAATTAGTCCAGCACTTCAACCTATCAACTTCTCTAATATGTGGGAGCTGATAAAAATGAAATTGAAGAGGGAAGTTAAGAGGATTATATCCTTCAAATTGCTTGCAGCTGACTTAAAACCACAATTATAAGGGGTTAATTAGTATTCATACCACAAGTTAGGAACAGTAGCACAAGGTCCAAGAAGTCACATAGCATATTTAACAAGTAGTCAAGAAAGTCATTAGAGAGAAGAAGACTTCCTTCAAGAATTCTTGTCCAAATCTAAAAAACAGAATGGAGTGCAAGGTTGATGCAAGTAGACAATAAGTGAAACAAATACTCATTTTGAGGAACATATTGCTAACAACTTCAAGGGTACAAATAAACTCACCCAATTTTTTTAAAACTATATGAAAATGCTGCAACTGAAAGAAGCATGGAGATTTCAAAGTGAGCCGCCCCGAGGCTTCCGCGAATGGGGCGGCATAGAAGTCCCCTAAATAAACAAATAAATAAATAAAGTCTAAAACCCAGGGACTACACCTTCTTTTCTGACAGATATCAGACATAGACATTTGTCTGTCATGGACATAGACAAGGATAGACATTTGTTAGATATCTAAAACTTCAATCTTGACTTTAAAGACTGTAAGGATTCAATCTAAGATATGGACTACCAGCCATTGGAAATTATCCGACCAGATGAGCAACAGGGAGCTAGAAGATGAAGACTGAATGAAAACATTTTACTACAAGATAAAGGAATGTGAAAGAGACTTAGAAGAGTTCTTTAGACTGAACAAAACGCGTACAACTGATGTTGTATTGGTATTTGAGGTCCTGTGACACCGCTGCAAGGCCCTTTTGGGTCTTGGGCCTAGAGGAGAGTGGGAGCAGCAGCAGCAAAGCCGAGCAGCTCGGAGAAGCTGGGGAGGGCATGTGCAAGTGACAAGGGCCCCAGAAAGGAGGTAAGGACTGGACTGCAGGTCAGGGGAGCCTAGCAGGCCTGGTGCATGTGGGAGAGGTGCAAGAGGGTGACATGAGCTGCTGGCTCACCATGAGGCCTATCTGAGGTCCTATACCACCAGTGGCATCCCTTAGCTGCACCCCGGGCTGCCCAGGGAATCTCTTCCCTTGAGTCATTTTTTAAAAAATGTTTGCTGTCTGCTGTGATACCTGTGACATAGAGTCATAGAATAATAGAGTTGGAAGGGGCCCTGAAGGCCATCGAGTCGAACCTCCTGCTGCTGCAGGACGCCACATTACATCATCCCACTCAGATGACTGTCCAGTTTCTTTTCGTTTGCCCTTCTCCCTCAAGAGAGGCAGGGACACACATACCCCAGGTGCAAGCTGCTGTCCTTCCTGGAGGAGGAAGTGAGGAGTCCAGACAAAAGGTTGAGGGAGGGGCTGAGGGAGAAACAGCTGGGAAGACATGGAGGCATGTCACCCACAGGAGGAATTGGCCAGCAAGGCATCCTCCATCTTTTAGCGCCAACCTGGAGCTGGGAAATAGGTTTTCTCCACTCGGGGGGGACTGACCTGTTCAGCCTGGGGCCAGATGCAACCAGGGGGATATTGATATTAGAGGTATTTTCAGTGGCATGGTGGTACCCCAAAAGATATACAGAAAATGGATAAGAAGTATAATGGAAAATCTTGTAAGTACAAAGAGATAGATGGAACATTTTATCATATGTGGTGGACATGTGACAGAATAAAAAAAAAAAATGGAAGCAGATACATGCTGAGATGCAGAAGATACTTAAAACTGACTTTGCAATGAATGCTAACATATTACTGAGTATTGTCCCAAAGACTATCCCAAAGATTATGTCAGAATTACACAAATATATGATAACTGTGGTAAGAATGATAATTGCCTCAATGTGGAAAGCTGAAGATTGCTTAGCTGTTGAAGACTGGGAAAACAAGCCAGCTGAGGATGCAGCAATGGAGAAGCTAACTAGTTATGGCAACAGAAGACTAGTTGAAGAATTTATTCGAAGATGGAAGATTTACTCGAGCAATTTAAATAATGGTTAAAGAAAATATGATTTATACCAACGTTTGTGACTTCACTCGCACAAAAGCAATGTTGAGATCTATAACTAACTGTATTGGCTAGATAAATATATGACAGAGAATGGAATTGGTGGGACAGGACAGTGGTTGACAGGGATCCTTGTTTATTGTAAATGTGCTTAAATGAGGGGTTGCTTGTTAAATCCTTAGAACAACGCTTGGCTTCTTTTTTCCATTCTTTTTTTTTATTATATACTCCCCCACCCTTTGTATTTCCTGAAAACAAATAAAAGATTTGCCAAAAGAAATCTTTAAATTGATCAGAAAATAGAAATGAGCTAGAGAAACAGTTGGACTATTGGATGATAATGGAACTAAATGAGCACTAAAGGAAGATAAGGGGCCTTCAGAGAAATTGAATGAATTCTTTTCATTAATCTTCACAGCTGAGGATAAAGAACAGAGTACACGAACTCATGTTTTCAGAAAGGGAGTGTGAGGAATTAAGGCAAACATTAGTTACAAAATATAAAATTCTCAATCTTAGTGACAAACTGAAAATTAATAAATCATCAGAACTACATGGTATTCATTCTGGAGTGCTGGAAGAGTGCAAATCTGAAATTGCTGACTTTCTTACAAAAATATGTGCTATGTTCCTAAGATGACTCTCTCTACCAAAGGACTGGAAAATGGCCAATGTAACACCAACTTGTATAAAAGGGAATGGGAGCAGGGAATCCATCTGTTCTGGGTCAATTGGTTGAAAACATTATTGAAGATCTACAGTAAGCATCTAGAGCAGTGATGGCGAACCTTTTAGAGACCCAGTGCCCAAACTGCAACCCAGAACCCACTTACTTATCACAAAGTGCCAACACTGCAATAAAACCTGAATACTGAGGTTTTAGTTTAGAAAAAAAAACAACTCATACATTAACATTTTTGTCTTAAAAGAAAAACACAATAAAAGAGAGAAGGAGCCATGTTCCTGTTCAGTGCCCCCAAGTTGGGGGACGCCAGGCTTGCTTGCACTCTCTCCCTCCTCTCCCCCAAACCATCCACCAGGAATGCCGCAGAAGCTTCGGCGGCGCTTGAAAGTTTACTGGAAGGGTGGAATGGGGTGGAGGGGAGAGAGAACTAAACTAAAAGTGAGGAGAGGCTATTGCTGATCCCTTCCACGCTTCCGTTGGGATCTTCCTCGAGGTGCCCCCACGGTGTGCCAAGCCTTGCGGGGTGGGGTGGGGAGGTGGGTCCCTGCTAAGCGCCCACTCCTCTCACTTCACAGCTGTTCCAGCCTTGGTTTGGCCTCCCTCCCGAAGAAGCGCCATATCGATCCCGGGCACCCTCTCTCTCCTCGCTCCAGCTGCTGCTGCTGCTCCGCCCCCTCGACCCCTTCACTCGCTCCCTTCGCCCAGCTTCCCCCCACCCCCTGCAGCCACCAGTGCGGGAGCCCGGCGTGGGAGCAGGCGTGCAGGCAGGTGGGCGCGGGACTGCCTGGCTGTGCCTGTGGCTACCGAGTTGGCAGATTCCCGCCACTACGCTAGCAGGGCGGTTTGGGTAGCAGCAGCACTCACATGCTGTGGGCTGGGAGGAGGAGGAGGAGGCAGGAGGAGGGCGCCGCCACCAGGGCTTGGCACGCCCGCTTGCTGCTCCCCCACTCCCTTCCTGGCACACCCACCATGGCTGTTGCGCCTGCCTCTGGCCACCTGTTCGATGCCGCCTCTTGTGGCGAGTCATGGCTAATGAGTGACATTGTTGCCTGGCGCCGTCACTCTTTCCGCATATGTGCATGGCTGCTGGGGCAATGCTGGGGCCACCTGGCTCACATGCCAACAGAGAGGGCTCTGTGTGCCCGCTGTGGCACGTGTGCCATAGGTTCACCATCACTGATCTAGAGAGACAAGTCAATATGGCTTCCACAAAGCTAAGTTCTATCTCATTAAAATATTAGAATTCTTTCAGAGTGTCAATAAGCACATGAAAAGGAACAATCCAGTACACATTTGTTTACTTGGGCTTCCAAAAGACTTTCCATAAAGTTCTTCATGAAAGACACCTGAGCAAAGGAAAAAAGGGGAAGTGCTATTAAAGATAAGTCACTGCTTGAAGAGTAGAAAACAGCGGCCATAAATGATGACTCCTCCCTCTGGCGGGGTGTAAGCAGTGCGATCTCACAGGGTTTTCTATAAGAACCAATGCTTTCCAGCCTATTCAGATGATCTAGAATTAAGAGTGAGCAACAAATTAACTGGGCAGCTGGTTTGCTATCCTGTGAATGGCATGCTGGACTACTTAGACTACTACTCTGATGCAGCCTGGCTTTCTTAAGTTCTTATGTTAAGATCACTTTGAATTTTATTTCTGCCTTCCAGGGATTAGCAATCCCATCCAATTTGTGCCATCTTCAAATGTGATAAACAATTCCTGCACATCCTTATCCAAATCATAAAATCATGGAATCATAAAATAGTAGAGTTGGAAGGGGCATATAAGGCCATCAAGTCCAACCCCCTTCTCAGTGCAGGACTCCAGTTAAAACATCCCTGACGGATGGCTGTCCAGTTGCATCTTGAACGCCTCTAGTGCGGAAGAGGCATTCAAGCCCTACGTCATTGATTCCATTTGTCCTGATGTACAGCTGGAACCTGACTACCTGTAACTTAAGCCCATTATTTTGTGTCCTGCACTCTGGGATGATTGAGAAGAGATCCTGTCATTCTTCTTTGTAACAGCCTTTCAAGCGTTTGAAAAGTGCTATCATGTTTAGCCCTTCAGTCTTCTCAAGGCTAAACATGCCCTGTTCTTTCAATCACTCCTCAAAAAGCTTTATTTCCAGTCCAGTGATGATATTTGTTGCCTCTTCTGGACCTTTACAAGTTTGTCTGTATCTTTCTTAAACTGTGGAGCCTAGAACTGGACACTGTACTCTAGATGATGCCTAACCAATGCCAAATAGAGGGGAAATTGATTTCTACAAGGGGTTTTCAAAAGGTTTCAGCACTTTTATATTTTATAAATATATTTTATATATTTTTTGCTGATAGCATTAAAAAGTTGGTGTGGCGCTGCGAAAAATGCATCAGAAAGGAAGGTGACTAAGTAGAAAAGTGATGTAATTTGTTTTTGAAATTCTTAATAAATAGAGTTTTTAAAAGTGCAGAAACTTTGAAGAACCCTTGTATTAATGCACCCATTTGCTTTTTTTGCAGCCACATAACATTATTGACTCATAGTCAACCTGGGATCGACAATAATTCTCTCTCATTTGCGGTATTATTGAGCCTAGTATTCCCCATCCTGTAACTGTGCATTTGGTTCCCTTTTTCCTAGGTGCAGACTTAGCATTTCTCCCTATTGAATTTTCATTATGTTGCCTTCAGGCCAGCACTCCAACCTATCAAGATCACTCTGAATCTTTTTTCCTCCAGGGAAACAGCTATCCCATCCAATTTTGTGTCATCTGCAAATCTGATCAGTATTCCTTACACCTCTTCATTCAAGCCATTAATAAAAATGTTGAAGAGCACTGGGTGCAGAACTGAGCCCTGCATTGCTCCACTCATTACCACTTTCCCGTCCGAGCAGGTGCCATCTTTGAGTCCGATTCTGTAGCCAACAGTGAATCCATCTGATAGTTGTTCCATCAAACCGTTTTAACTAGCTTTCTGATCAGAATATCATGGGGTGCTTTGTAAAAAGCCTTGCTGTAATCAAGATATATTATGTCAACAGCATCCCCACAGTCCACAAGGGAGGTCATCCGATCAAAATCATTCATAAAAATGTTGAAGAGTACTGGCCCCAGGACTGAACCCTCTAGTATCCCACTCAATCCCTCTTCCCAATTTAAGAAGGTGCCATTGATAAACACTCATAAGAGTTGTTTGCCATGGGACTGATCATTATTCTGAATTTATTAAAATTAGCTTTCCTAAAATTGGGGGTATGTGTTTGGCTTTTGCTCCTTAAAGAACAGAATTCAAATATGGCATGGGTCACTTTCGCCCAGAGTTCCCAGAACTGTCACTTTATTCAACTAAGTCATCCTTGTTGACCAGAGTCAAGTCAAGGATAGCCAATCCTCTAGCTCCTTCCTCTACCTTCTGTAGGAGGAAATTATCAGTAACACAAATCATGTACTTCTTTGAGGGACCACATTTGACAGAATTTGTATCATAACAGGGGAAACTGAAGTCCCCGGTTACTACTGTACTATGCCTCCTTGAAACATTGGCAATTGGCTTTTCAAGAATTTAATTCTTGTATTCTCCTTTACTGGGCTCTCAGTAGTCGGCTCCAGCTAACATGTTCCTTGTATTCCTTGCTCCATTTATTTTAATCAGATTCTCTTGATAGAACTACTAAGATCATCCTCCTGTATTTCTGTGAAGAGATATGTATAGTGTGACTCCACCTCCCTTTCTGTTCCTTCTGTTCTTCTTGAACAGGTTATTTCCCTCAATTGCTGAATTCCAGTCATGGGGAGTCATCCCACCACATTTCAGTTTCAGCTATCAAGTCATATATGCCTTCCTGTATTAAGATAGGTGCAACCCATCCCTTGCCAGCAGTCTGTCCTCCAGGGAGTGTAGATTGTCCTCCCAGAATCCAACTCTCGCATGTTGTTGCCACCTTCGTAGCCAGACATTCACCTAGAGTAGTTTTCTGCCTCCTCCTATCCTCGTCAAAGTACTATCTGCGCCCCAATGTTCTTGAGTTTACCTCCCAAAACTTCTAAGTTTGATGCAATTTCTTCAAGGTTCTGCTTGGTGGTATTGTTTGTTCTCAGACAGATGGAAAGGAAGAGGTACATGTCAGTGGGCTTTATGAGCATTAGCAACCCTCCAGTTAAATCACTAATCTGTCCTCCAGGGAGACAGCATGCCTGGCAGGTCCATGATATTCTCATGCTCCACTGCCTTTGCATTGCTTCCAAACTTTTTTTTAAGAGTGAGGAAAGTGTAGTGTTATCTGGAAATGAGAAGCTTAGGTGTTATCACAATTCCAGTATGCTGCAGCTCCACCTTGTGGTTAAGTGTTTGAACATATAAAAAGGCAGAGAAAGAAAAAATAAACCCTGAGAGAAATGGTGCTTGTGAAACAGTTGATCTTAGACCCACAAAGAATCTGGAATTAGAAACCTCAATTAAAAGGCAGGTTAAAAGTCCTATATACAGACACTCTGTATCCTGGACAGGAAGATTTTCTACATCACACTATATTCACATGTTATATAACATTATGCCTTCCTTCCAGGTTTGGATGAAGAAGGAAGCCTATATATTTTTAAAGAGGACCACATCATTGAGTTTGATGGGCAAATGGCAGCAGATGTTTTGGTTGAATTCCTCCTAGATGTAAGTGCAAATGGCCCAATAAATTCATTCCATTTCCCAATTATGGAAATAATCTATTATATTTGCATCTTCAATGGCATATTTCAGAAAAGAAAGAATGGCATGATATGTGATACGTGATATGAGACATGAATGGATGCACATTTGTCTAAAGGACTTATTAATTGCAATTATTAGTCAAAGATTAAAGTGCAATTGTTTAGTGAATTGTAAATAATTAATTCCATTGATTAAATTAATTGATGGGGGAATCAACTTGCATTACCTGATGTAACATGTGATGGCAATCACAATCACATGTTGGGGATTACATGAGCAGGGCCAGTTGGAGCCAGGAGTCAGACTAGATGGTCTGAGAGACCTCTTTTGACTTGCTTTGTTTCTATGCTTATATTCTTAAACAACACTCTCCTTTTTTCACCCAATACTGTGCTGATAGAATTGTCTTAATCATTAGCAATGATAATTGTTAACTTCTGCATTGTTTAAAGCTCCTTAACTACATCAACTACCCTCACTCAACACAGTAGATCTTACATATGAGTAATATGCAAAGGATTGGAAGCAAGGTTGCAAACCTGAATCCTGGAAAGCAACCACTGAACCCTGAGGGAGTTTGAAGTAAAATGTTTAGGATGTCTTGCAAACAGATTTGCTACTTCTACAATATTCCCCTAAACATGTGTGTGCATTTTGTTTCATATCAGGCAATAGCTATTCCATATGTGTTGCTAACAGATTGCTCTTTCTGATTAAATTCCTTTGTCATGACAGCTGATGGAGGATCCAGTGGAAATTATTAATAACAAACTGGAGCTACAGGCCTTTGACCACATGGAAGAGGAAATCAAACTGATTGGCTACTTCAAAGGAGAAGATTCGGAACGTATGCTCACTTAAATGGTTCTCAGGATTGGATGAAATCTAATCAATACACTATGGCAGGACAAATAGAGCTCTCTTACGCATTCTTGCATTTTTATTGGCTGAATATGTTCAACATGCTAATGTATGCATGTTTATCACTGCAATGTTAAAGCTGAGTCAAGTGTTTAAATTCAGTGGAGGTTTGTAAGGAGGAGGTTGGGGGTTGTACCTGTGATTCTAAGGTATGGCCACAGCATGTTTATCCAAATGTCTGAGCATGTGCCTACCCAAGGCAATGTATTCTGTTACAGTTTCTTTCCCTTCTTCTTTGAACCTGTAAGAATGTGATCTTATGTACATCCACATACCAATGATCATAGTCAAATTCTGATGGTCAAATTGCATGTGTATTGTGTGAATGGGTTCTTAAAAGTAAATAGCAGGGGCAGCCCTCTCCCTCAATCTCAGTTGGAATTGCAGTGGGGGCAAGGGATCGAAGCCACGCTACCTGATTTTTTTTGTCTATCTTCAATATGAAATATGAGCCAGAGAGAGAATGATATTATTTATTTTTATGTGTATTAAATACCTATGTTACCAAGGCCAGACATTAAATGGCTATGCTTAGAAACAGTTTCTGTACCCCAAATATATTTGAGGAACTTGCAATCTTCCCTTTCAAGCAAGGCATGTAGAGTCTGCTACTATGTGTGATGAACTGTTTTATATAGCAGGGATAAAGAAGCTTTCAGCAGCCCTTCCAGTTGGGCCTGTTTAAAAACTGCATTTCAAACAGACAAAATCTAAGGGCCAAATCTCATGCAAGTTTGAGGGCAGTCCATGCTGGCTAGAAAATTCTAGGAGTTGTGGGGCATTTCAAACAAAAAGAAAATGGTTTTGCTTTCTCCTTTCTCTCTCCCAGATTACAAAGCATTTGAGGATGCAGCTGAACACTTCCAGCCCTACATAAAGTTCTTTGCCACCTTTGACAAAGGGGTAAGCATCATCATATTGGTAGAAATGGGTTCGGACCAATGGGTAATGCTGGAGTAGCCCAGAGCACACAGTGTGGAACTCGGGTGGCTGTATACCTTACAAGCTATTAACAGGGCCAAACCCAGTTGTGCTGTTTTGGGTTCCAGGTGAAGACATTTCCCAGGAATTTTGGTCTTTCAGTTGTTGCTTTAAATCTGGTGCTATAGTTAAATCACTGAAGTTGTTAGACTTCATTTTGGTTTTTAGTGTTTTTTTTTTAAATTTCATAGACTCATAGAATAGTATAGTTGGAGGGGGCCATGAAGGCTATCAAGTCCACCCCCCTGCTGTTGCAGGACACCACATTACACCATCCCACTCAGATGGCTGCCCAGTTTCTTTATAAATGTCTCTAGTGTGGGAGAGCCCACCACCTCTCTAGGCAGCTGGTTCCACTGTTGTATTGCTCTGCCAGTGAGGAAGCCCTTCCTGATGTCCAGCGTGAATCTGGGTTGTCACAGCTTGACATGATTATTCCGTGTCCTACACTCCGACATCAGCAAGAAGAGATCTTGACCTTCCTCTTTGTGACAGCCTTTGAGGTACTTATAGAGGGGCATCATGTCGCCCCTCAGTCTTCTCTTCTCAAGGCTGAATATGCCCAGTTCTCTCAGTCTCTCCTCATAGGGCAGTGTTTCCAAACCCTGGACCATTTTCGTTGCCCTCTGCTGGACCCTTTCTAATTTACCTGCATCTTTATTAAATCTTGGTGCCCAGGAGTGGGCACAGTATTCCAGGTGGGGTCTGACTAGTGAGGAGTATAGAGGAACTACTACTTCTCTTGATTTGGAAGTAATCAAGAGAAGCATTTGCTACATGCTATATAAATTGGTTCAGAATAGAACTGCTAGGATGTTAATGGGAACTGGCCAGTTTTCACATATAATGCCGGTCCTCTACTGGTTACAATGGCTACCAATTGAAGTCCAAGCCCAATTTAAGGTGCTGGTTATGACCTATAAAACCCTTAAACAGCTTAGGTTCGGGATACCTGAAGGAGTGCCTTCTTCCCTATGTGCCCTCCTGCCCCTTGAGATCTGAGGCAAAGGTCCTGCTACAGGAGCCTTCCTTGAAGGAGATTAGGAGAGAGAGTACCCAAAGGAGGGTCTTCTCTGTGGTGGCACCCGGACTGATACGCTCCCCAGAAAGGTCTGCCTGGCACCAACATTATATTCTTTTCAGCATCAGGCAAAATCCTTTTTATTTTGCTGTTATTTTAATGTTTAATTGATTTTAACTGAGGTTTTAGCATATTAATGGTCAGATGCTATGGGGTTTGTTTTATTCTATTTTTTTATTGTAAGCCATCTCTTACAAGTTCTGTAGGGGACAGGATAGGAAAGCTTTTAATAATAAATAAATAAAACCATGCTATATAAATATATATACTAAATTATGTCATGTATTGTATAATTGCAGTTATTGTGAGTTGCCCACAGAGATTTGGCTATGGACAGTACAGATAAGTCATAAATAAATAAATGTGCTATTCAACTTAGCCTGATTTGCTAGTCCTGCCCCCTGTTCATTCTGTGACTTGAAGTAACCAAGCTTTTATCATCTTAAATGCCAGGTACCTGTTAACTGATAGGGCCCAGCAGTGCAGATATATCCTGGGGAGCTGTAGTTAGTTTTGACTCCTTTGTGGGCATTCCGCCAAACCCATAGATCAGACACATTGTTCCCATTCAAGTACTACATTATTTGCCAAGGCGTGGAATGAGCAAACAGCAAATTCCTTTGCCACTTGCATTGTTTTTGAATTGGGTTGAAAATGCAAAAGGGAGTGAGGGGAGAATTTTTCTTCTTTTATACTACTCTTAGGCAAACTATTTTTGTTTGCTGCAGTTTCCAGGTTCGTTCCCTGGCATCTCCAGATGAGCTTAGGAAAGAAAGGATCCTGCACAAAGTCCTGGAGAGCCATGGCTGCCAGCCAGCATTGGTGATACTGGGTTAGGCAAGCCAAGGGCTTGGCATAAGGTCACTTCTGATGCTTCTACATGTAACATTTTTACCACTGTTTCGTGTGAAGAGATCAATATTTGCTCTGAGTTTTCCAGTACTGGTTAATTCACATGACATAATCATTCTCTCATACAAGCCTGCCCCTGTTTTGTAATTCTTAGGCAATGGATTCCCCATCAATAGCTTTGAAAGCTTACAAAGCAAACCTGAAGCTTACTAGCCTAGCACTGTAAGCATGCTGTTTTCCTTTCCTTTCCCTAGACAAGTACAAGGAGTTCCTATACCAGGGTGGTCCAACATGCAGCCCCCCAAGGCCTTGTTCTGTGGCCCTCTTGCCACTTGGAGTCTCCCCATTCTCCCCAGTCTCTCCCCATTCTGGATCCCAGCAAGGGCACAGGCATGATTATGGCAAGCTCTCCCAAGGCCGCTGCCCCATCCTGCTCTCTTACTGAGGCTCAGGGTCAGGCTGGCCACCTTACGAAAGCTCGGTCCAGCATGCCCTGTGTCACTCTAGCTAACAAGCACAGAGGAGCTGGAGCAGCGGCTGAGAGCTGGGTGAGCCAAGGGCTGCTGCGACAGAGTCCCTGTGAGTGGTTGCGCCCCCTTCCCCTCACCTCCTCAAAAGGTGGCAGCAGGGGGTGGGGGAAGGAGTGCCCCCAGCTGGGCTGGTGCTCTGCAGGGGACAAACTTGGGGGCAGGGCCAGCGAGGGCCCCTAGCCCATGTGCTGCCCTTTGTTGTGCCAGTGCTTCTGGGGGATGCGCTATGCAGGGAAGCAGCCCCTCCGAGGAGCAGCTGGTAGGGGGTGCTCTGTTCTTGCCATGCCACCTCCTGCGCCAGCACTTCCCCTGCTGGGCCTGCTGCAGTTTCTCGCCACGCCTGTGCGCCTACCTGGGCCCACCAGCCACTGCTGCCTCAGGCAGCCACTGGACAGTGCTCACGTGGAGTGCTGGCCCTGCACCCAGTGATGCCACAAACAAGGAAATGCCATTGCTGTTATGGTGCTCTGGCGCTGGAACACTCTGCCAGCTCTAACACATGCATTCGAAGCCTGGTGCTCCTAGCTTTGTGCGTGTATGACTGTGCTGACGCGGCTGTCTTAACTGATCAGAGTCGCTATTTGTTTGTAATGTAAGTTCCTTTAGTTCTGCAGGGAAGGGTATAACTCTCCACAATAAATTGTGGGACCTACTCATAGCAAGGAAATAAAAATTAAGTGTTGGAAACTGTCACTCAGCCTGGCCAACTTTGTTAGTTTCCAAAGCAGAATTGCTAGAATGGGGGATCTGCTGCCTAAGCATGAGGGTCTGGTGAAAATGATTTATCTGCTGTTATTTATTTATTTATTTATTTTTCGATTTATATCCTGCCTTTTCCTACAAAGGGCTCAAGGCAGCTTACATCTCCTCCATCTTATCCCCACAACAACAACCCTGTGAGGTAGGTAGGTTGGGCTGAGAGTCTGTGACTGGCCCAAAGTCACCCAGTTGGCTCCGTGGCTGAGTGGGGACTAGAACCCAGGTTGTCTGAGTCCCAGTCCCATGCTCTTAACCACTACGCCACACTGGCTCATATGAAAATATGCAGTACTATAATGCCCCATTTTGGCACTTTAACTTTCAGTATATTTACATTTCAAATCTTTTCTTTCAAACATCAAAAGCACTCGGGGTGAGCCAGCAATATCTATGTTCATAATTTGATGTTTGTAGGTGGCAAAGAAATTGGGACTGAAGCTAAATGAAGTGGATTTCTATGAGCCCTTTATGGATGACCCAGTGCATGTCCCTGACAAACCATATTCAGAAGAAGAACTGGTTGAATTTGTGAATGAGCACCGAAGGTAAAGAAAATGGCATTCAGAAGCGTTCATCCTGCAATACAGAGAAGTTCCTCTGTATTTCAAGTGCCCATCCTCTCAAGCTGTTGCATTCTTTTTACTCCCTCCTGAGGCAATAAAGATCCATGATGTCTAGATGAACCAGTGGCTGAGTTCACATGACATGCTAAGCTGCTGGTGGGCAGAGGCTTAGCACATCTTCTGAACCCCCTGCTTCCTGGGGGCTTACGGTTTATAACATACCCCAACTAGCCATGGCTTGTGGTGGGGTTTACTCCCCTGTGGCTTACCTTGTTTGAGCCCACCCCAAGAGCACCTTGGCTGTTGCTGGCTCTGCTGACCTCAGCGGGAACATGAGTGGGGGAGGTCAGCAGCTTTGCTGCATTCTGTCCTCTCAGCCCAGTTTGGTGGGGTTACCAAAAAGCAGACAAGGCTGAGCAGATGGCTCCCACCCATCACTGCTGTCATTTCAGTAGTGGCAGCAGGCAGGACCCAGCCACTGAGTCCCAGGCCAAGCCACTGTATCCCACCTGCCCCTGCTGTGGCAATGACAGGCAAAAGCAAGCCGCTCTGCCTGCCTTCCTCTTGAAGAGCCACCCTTCCTCCCCTGCCTCAATCCAGTCTTTTCCACTGGGGAAGGGAGGGAATAGGGTGTGAAGTGCCCCCTCCTGTTGCACTGCTGGCTCCACTGGCAAGCTGCCTGGGACCGGCTTTGAAAGGCCAGAGCCGGGTGGCAAGTGCCTCCTCTTTGCCACAGGAGCCAGTGCAATCAGCTTGTCACTGTGCTGCCCCCGCCCCATGGGGGAAAGGGTGTGCTTTCCTCCCCAGTTGCCTGCCTGCCCGCCCTGCATGTCTCCTCCTACCACTTAGGACTTGGGGAAGGGCATCCAACACAGCTAGTATCACACCTGTTGAGGGCAGGGGACTGCAGGTGGCGGCAGCATATTCAGCTGGGCCTCTCGCTGGGGAGGTGCAGCAAGTTGTAATCCTAAAGAATAAAATATTTATCTATAAAACTGAGGTCTACTGGCTTTCTTTTCAGAGCCACGCTGCGCAAGTTGCGTCCGGATGATATGTTCGAGACCTGGGTAAGTGCAACAAATTCTAAGAGGAAGTATCATGGGGCAGTATTTGGTCTAGTTGCATAACGTAAAAGAGGATCTCAAACTCTTGTATAGGCACTTTCTATGCACATGAGCAAAACTCCTCCTCTGTCATTCCATAAGATTGTGTTCATAGCACTTTGTAAATGTTAAGGCTGAGTTTTTGCGGATACCTGGAGTTCTATAATGGGTTTGGTATAAAGTGCTCTACACAAATATACAGGTTGAGAAGAAATCAGTGAGAAGAGATAATTACTGCTACTGTGTTTCCCCCAAAATAAGACCTAACTGGAAAATAAGCCCTAGCATGATTTTTCAGGATGCTCATAATATAAGCACCACCCCAAAAATAGGCCCCAGTTAAGATCGTCAGCCAGATGGATGGAGAAACATGGTAGTACGTCTGTTGCAACTCACGATAGACATACTGAATTATAAAATAATAATGTTAATATATAATTAAATGTAAATTAGTATTATTGACATTAATACTTAAAAATAAATGATAATATACATTATAATTAAGTATTTGTAAATACCGAAGTGGGTGCCTTTGGACAAGAGGTAAACGCCTATGTAAACAGATGAACGTGAGATTTATTGCCAAATGACCAGAGTACAGGCACAACGCACAAATAATGTCAGTATGTCGTGTGTTGTAAAAGACGTACTTAATACATGGATACAAAATGCAAGATGGGTGCAAAAAGAAAGCTATTTCATCAAGTAAACTGAGCTGGGGGTCTCAGGCCCCCCAAAAACTTGTCCGTACTGGACAAGTGTGGGGAGAGGATCAGGGGCTGTTATCAGGGAAGATGGGAGGTAGGAGGAGGCTGGGAACTCCAAAGAAAGGAAGCTGTGGGAAGGAGTTGAGGTGCATGTACACCAATGCTAGGAGCAGGAAGAGCTTGACGCTCTCCTGGGAACAGGAGGGTATGACCTGGTGGGGATCACAGAAACTTGGTGGGATAAAAGGCAAGACTGGAATGTGAACATAGAGGGGTATCACCTGTTTAGAAAGTACAGGATGGGAAAGAGGGGTGGGGGCATAGTTTTATATGTCAGGGAAGGGATAGGAGGCAGTGAGATAGAATGCAGCACAGATGGGGATTCAGTAGAGGCAGTCTGGGTGAAACTTAAGGGTTTTGACAGGGAAAGGGACCTGACAGTGGGGGTATGTTATTGCCCTCCAGGTCAACTTGAGACCCTGGATGATGTCCTGACAGATCAGATTCTAAGGATATCTCGGGGGAGGGACACAGTAATTATGGGAGATTTCAGTCTCCCGGATATTAGTTGGGAGACTCACTCAGCGGTGACAGCCAGGTCACATCGCTTCCTAGAAGCTGTAGAGAGAGGGTTTTTCATACAGAGGGTCCAAGAGGCGACGAGGAGGGGGGGACATCCTTGACTTGGTCTTGACCAACAGGGAGGAGCTGATAGATGAGGTACAGATTAGGGAAGCTCTGGATGCGAATGATCACTCCATCCTTTGCTTTGAGAGCAAGGGAATGGGGACGTGTAGCAAGTCAAGCACTAGAAGCTTGGACTTCGAGGGGGCCAACTTTGGCCAACTGAAGGCCAGACTGGGGAAAGTCTCCTGGGATAGGTTACTGGAAGGCAAGCGAGTTGAGGACGGGTGAATGGCACTCAAAAAGGAGGTTTTAGAGGCGCAAGTCTTGACGATACCTCTAGTTAGTAAGGCGGGGAGGCAAAGGAGAGTGCCGCCATGGATGCGAAAGGAGGTGGTTAGAGGGATTAGATGCAAGAGGAACCTCTGTTGGAACTGGGGCAAATAGACAAAAGGGTATACCAGGAGGAGGAGGCCCGTTGCAGAAGAATTCTTTGCAAGGCTAAGGCTGATTACGAGCTGAGACTTGCAAAGAATATCAAGTGCAACAAAATGGCTTCTATCAGCATGTAAATAGCAAGAGGAAGGGGAGACAGGTAGTAGGACTGCTAAATAAGGAGTCAGTGCAGCATAGGGCCACAAGGTTGGTGGCCAGTTTGCAGGGGATGCTGTATGAGGCAAGACTGAGGGAACTGGGTCTCTTCAGCCTGGAGAAGAGGTGACTCAGAGGGGATATGTTGGCAACATACAGGTATGTGAGGGGGTGTCACACGGAGGTGGGTAGAGACGTGTTCTCCCCTGCAGAGGAAGGCAGGATGCACTCCAATAGAGCAAAGCTCAGGGGACCAAGGTTCAATTTAGATGCCAGGAAGCACTTCCTGACAGTTAGGACTCTGAGGGTATGGAATGGGCTTCCACAGGAGGTGGTTGAGGCCCCATCGGTGAGGATGTTCAAGGATAGGCTAGACATGCACATGGTGGGCATGTAGTGAGCGGAGCCGCCTGGAGCCGGGGGTCTGACTAGATGACCCAGGAGGCCCCTTCTGACTCGAAGAAGAAAAAAAAGTACAAGAAAAGAATCGTGGAGGACTCTTGGGGCAAGAATCATATGGCTTTCATAAGAAAAAATGTCATCACCTGAAAATAAGCCCTAATGTGTCTTTTGGAGCAAAAATTAATATAAGACCTGGTCTTATTTTCAAGGAAACATGGTAGGAAACTAGTGTTTCCAAGGCAGAATCAATGCTGATCCTATCATCCATATGCACATACATTTATACCATTTAGAGGATATTTGTCCCATTTTATAGCTGAGAAAAACTATAGTACAACAGTAAGTGATTAGCTCAAGATAAGTCAGTGAATCTATGGCACCTCTAAACAAAAATACCAGTCAAATAACAATAGGAATGTCCCTAAGCAAATTCAGAGTGCATTTCCCTTATCTCTGAGCAATTGTTGCCTCCCCACAACCAGCATGGATAAGATTAAAAGCAGAGATTATCTGCAGCTTTTGTTATCTGCCACACATGTTAAATCTTCGCCACACATGTTAAATCTTCGGCTCTAGAAATTAAGCAATAACCAGACCTGGCAGCAAGCAAACCTCAGTCAGAGGACATAATACCTTTACACAGTAATTCACTTCTCATTTCCACAACTGCCCCTGCCTTTTCTCACTGGAAGTCAGCCTAGCAGTCTGTTCCCAGTTGCAAGGCTGGAACAGAGGAGGACAGATACCTGTGAGCACATGCTGAGTGCCCTTCCCTTAGCACTAAGTAGCGGCAGTCCTCTGCCTACCGTACACATTTAGGCACAGGTACTTAACAGCACAGTGAAAGAAATGCTTGTCAGTGCATTTCATTTCACTGATTTCATTTATATACTGCCCAAAGTTCTCTGAGCAATTTTCAAAAGATAGAATCCAACTACAAAATAATAAAAACATAATGTAAAATCTTTAACATAAATGTTAAAAAAGGTTAAAAAATTAACAATGAAATCCCAGGACCTAATAAAACAACTGAAATTAAAAGTCCTATCTATGCCTGCAAATGCTTGGAAGTAGAGGAAAGTCCTCACCCAGTTCCAAAAATAAGGCACTGTTGATACCAGGTGGGCCTCAGTGGAAAAAGCTTTCTATGAACGGGAGGCTATCACCAAGAAGGCCTTCATCCTTTTTGATATGCTGTGATTGTCCCCTGGAGGAGAATTTTGTAGTTTAATCCTCAGCAGCAAAGTATTTCATGTAGGAAGTCCCATGTTCAATCCTTATGGTTTTAATTTAAAAAGCTCTTTAAATTAAGCTGGAAAATGCCTTTAAATAAACATTGTAGAGCTGTTGTAACTCAGAACAGATCGTATTGAAACCAGTGGAGTTTGGCTTAGTATAAAGTAGGTTGATATGTCTTGTACCACAAGAAAGGAGTGCGTGAGTGCATGCATCAGAGAGAGAAAGAAATGCACTATCTAACACTGAGTTGAATAGCAGGCTTTATTCCCTGGTCCATTTACAGAGGTACCCTGGAAAATCCTGGGAAAAATGAGACCAGATTTCTTTCACTGCATCAGAGAGAAGTCTTTGCCACTCCGTTAATGAGTTATCGACTTTGGTGTTGTATTTGTGTGAAGACAGCTGCAAACTGGTTCAGGAGAGATGATGCCTAATATATTGGAGCATTTTTGCTCTGATTTCAGTAGTAAATCTGCTCCAAACATCCCTCTCAAAATCCATTTCTCCTTGAGAAGCCAGGAAAAGCTTTGTTCTTGCAATCCTACCTCCCCATCAGTGATGTTTTCCCCTTATTCTTTTAGCTCTTTATTTTATGGGGGTTCTGTCACTTGTGGACTCAGAGGGGAACAAAATTAGCATTTAGATGGATTTTTCCTCTTGCATTAATACCAATTGAAATTGAAAGCTGGTATTGGTGGAAGACAAGGAACATGAGGGTTTTCCATGGTATAATTCCAAGATGACATTCATAGCAGGTGCACAATAAACAGCCTGAATGCCAACTAAGATGGCCTTTGCCAATATAATTTTCACCATGGCCGGCTATCCAAGCCCTTGTTACCACCTCTGTGGCTTTTAGGAGAAAAACCCATCCCAATATTTTTAAGTGCCAACTTCACTGAAGGTTCATTTCTTCCTATTAGTTTTTACAGACACACTTGTGTGAATCTCTTTGTCTCTTCCTCCTTCTTCTTCCTGTGTTTTTGCACTTTTAACTAAAAGCTATACTCCTCTATAAAATAACAGAGAACCTTTTGTGTTGGGTTTGGTTATTTTGTTTGTTGTGAAGGAGTCATCTTTCCTAACAAACTTGATGGGTGATCAAGACCTTGACAGACCAATGGAGAGTGTCCTCGATACCCTGGAATCTCTCTCTAGTCCTTGGAATGATGCAACCACCAGAATGTTATGGAAGGACAGGATCTGTCTTCATAGAGACCCCTCACACATGAATGAATACTTTAGGGAGAAATGGTAACATGTTAATCACTGCCTTCATGATGACATTTCCCTCATTCCATGCTGCTGACATCTGCATGTTTAATTAAATATACAAAGGGGTAACAAAGATTATCAAGGGACTAGAAACAAAGCCTAGAGAGATTGAAAGAACTGGGCATG